TATGACAATTATTATTTTAACAATTAATTATGTTTAATAAAAAATTCAAACAATAAATTATTTATAATTTTCAAAATTCTCACAATGTGTAATTTTCATTACGTTGGTACTATATATTCTAAACAAAAATAAAATTAATAAAAACTCACATATGTATAAATAATTAATGATTATGATAATTTTATTATTATATTGTAATTATGAATTTTATTTTTTCTGTTAATTATGTTAAATAAAACATTTTAACAAAAAAGTATTTGTAATTTCTAAAACTACCAAGAGTAACATGTTTTAAGCAAATTACATGATGTGTCTTTGTAATTACCCAAAAAAAACTGATAATAAAACAAATGGTAAAGAAAAATAAAATCAAATTGCACAAAGTATTTAAAAATAAAAAATAAGATTTGCAAACGACACCGTTTGTTGTGACAGTACAGTGCTATCACAGCACCGAGCCCGCGTCAGTTGTTTTGATTTATAAGCCTCATCACGGATCCTTTTAGATGATAGAAATCATTTATTTTGTAATATTATTTATGTATTTTTCATGAAAAAATTAGGGGTATTTATTCATAAATTTTCTGTTCACCTACTTATATTTCACTTAATTCAAATTATTTTATTATATTTTAATAAATCATGTGGGTGACATAGTTACCAAATGCTTTGCACTTGCCTCTCTTATTGGTGTTTTGGTAATGTATATTGTACTTTACTATTCTATCAATAAAGTTTCTTTTTTTGCCGATAAAAAAAAAATAATATTCACATTGACAGTGTGAATGTTGTGAACATTCGTACCATCAAATACAAATGATCACATCATTAAGTTGCTAAGGATTTAAAAAGTATTTATAAAGGTAAAATTATCTATAAAATACCTTAAATATGAGAATTTGGATTTGGTGGGTCAAATGTCTAAATAATAGGACTTATTGAAATACACGAATATGTTATGGACTAATTGTGATACAAGTACTTGAAAAATAATTTTTTTTTTTTTTCTTTACACTAAGTCCAACTTTCAAAATATTTAGGAATTGAAAAGCGTTAAATCAATAAGTGCTAATAAAAATTTATTAGGAGTTACAAATTCATTACATGACAATATGATCCACCAATTACCAAGTATTATGTCTCATGCCCTAATGCAAAATTGTGGGTCACACTCTCTTCACAAATCATAAATTTTTGGATAAATTACACTTACACCCCCTGAAATTTAGCTTTAATACATATCACACTCATGGCATTTGGGAAATTACACTGATCCCTTGTCATTGTAATTATTTAGACGGAATTAACGTTGGTATCAAAAAAATATCAAATTCATACACTCTCTCTTTTCTTGTTTTGCTTTACTTTACTTTTTTCTTTTTTCTTTTTTTTGCTTTGCTTTCTTTCCTTTACTTTTTTTTTTCCAATATAATTTCCTCTGATTTTTTATCAGGAGTCGTTGCCTTTTATATAAATAGGGAGTTTGTGAAATGTGACTATTAACCATAAGGGTAAGAATGTAATTTCTATAAGGTTAGGGGATGGGATGTAATCAAACAAAACCTCAAGGGGTGTTAGTGAAATTTACCCTAAATTTTTTATTAATCACCTAACCATGCCTTAAAAGCACTAGATATTTTCTCTTATTCCAGTAGTATTACTCGTGTGATATTTTACTTTTGTTTTGTTGTTTCAAAACTTAAAAACTTTTATTATACATATTTATTTTTAATAAAATTTATATTTTTAGAGTTTACACAATGAGATCTATTAAACAAAACCAATATTGAATATAAAATTTTATAAAAATAAAATATTATTTTTTAAGTAAAGCTAACAATTTTTCAATTTGCAAGATTATCTAATAAAACTAAAACAAATCTCAATTGTTTCTAGTATTAACTGAGGATATTCTTACTTTTTGAGAAATTTCTCAATTTTTTTCAGTTTTAAAATTAAGTCAATTTTTTTGGTTTTAAACTGAGAATATTCTCAGTTTTAAACCTTAAAAAAAAACTGAAAAAAAATATACCATAACAATATTGTCAGTTTTCTGTGCATGATCTGGTTCATAATCTGCAGCTGATTAGGGGCCAAGCATTGCGATCTTCATGGTTTTGATAGAGGTGGAATCTGGTCCGAAGTTGATGGTTGGTCTATGTTTGTAAGAAATTGGAACCTGGTCTGAAGATAGAATCTGTTTGGTCTGCTGTCTGCTGTCTGCTGTCTGCTGCTACTGTTGCTTCACAGGCCCGCAGTTGTTTGATGCTGTGTGGTTGTTGCTGCCTCGCTGCTGTTGAAGATGGTGATGACTTATGCTAATTGTTTGTCTCGTTGGCGTATGCCTTGCTGCTGGGTGTTGTGTTGTTCTGTTTTTGTTCTGTTTTGTGATCTAGTGGTCGTTGTATTGTTGATTATACCTTGCTTAATCATCAATAATTCTTTATTTTGCTGATCAAGAAAAAAAAAAAAAAAGTTAACAAATGGTTTAAATTGTAAATTTATAATAAAAAAACATATTTTTATTTTTAAATAATTTTGTATTTAATATTAATCTTATTTGATAGATTTCGTTGGGTTGATTTTAAAAATATAAATTTTATAAAAAATAAATATATATTGCAAAAATTATGATGATTTGAAATTTTAAAAATAAAAACAAATGTTGCAACAGTATTCTTCTTTGTAAATAATTACAAATTATAAACAATCATTATTTGAAGAGTAATTTTGTCTATTAAAAATTAATGAGACTTGAAAGAGTAAAAAATCTTATTTAGGATTTAATGGAGTATAAGTTCATATAAATGCCCTATTTTTTTTATTTTTAAACAAAAGCCATATAATAAAGATATTAGAATTACTAGATCAATCTAATTTTTTTATAAATATATGTTCAGAAAACTCTACATAATAAATAATTTGAATTATTAAAATGGAACATGCGATAAGACTGACAAACCCAAACAACATGGTTTAATTAAAATCTCAATTTAAAAGAAGCCAAACTTTTACCCAAAAACTATGGATAGAAACTTGATGTGCAAGTATATTTGATATGTTTTGCAGATGCGTGCTGGTGGATACTTGGCACTAGCTAACAATGAGGGGATCGTGAACTTGGTCATATTCATATTGTGATATTTAAGGTTTGCGTCAAAATTATAATTTATTTTTTTTGTGTTATAATATCATGTCATTTTCAATTTATGTTAGATTTATGTTGTGGTAATGTATCAAAAATTTTAACTTAATTAAAAAAATTAAGAGGTTGTTTGGGGTGTTTTAAATAAGTGCACTTTTTGACTTTTCGACTAAAAAATAAAAGAAAAAAATATGGTTGTTTAAGATAACTTTTTCTCTTTTTACGAAATATGTGTATTAAAATATTGTATAAAATAGCAAAATTAAAAAATTATCCCTATGTCCTAGACTAGTGTAGTTGCACTGACTTTGTCTCTCCTTTCATTTTTTTATTTATTTATTTTTTTTTAATGTAGGTGTGGCTTACATTGTGCCACGTTTTGTACTTTTATGAGAAATTGTGGCTGCTGCAGCAGTGGCTGCTTAGCCTGACCTGTTTTGAATTTTTTTTTTTTTTGGACAAATTTCCCCCCAAAAAATAGGTGAATATTATGAATTTTTTTTTTTATTTTTTAGTGACTTTTAGACTTTTAGACTTTTTTATATCATACCAAACCAGCCCTAAATGTGTGACAAAATTTTTATTAAAAAAAATAAAATTTGCAAGTTAAATTTTATAAAACTAATTTGTATTTGATTAAATTAATTATAAAAAGTTTGATTTGAACTCAATTTCATTTTCCTAAAAGATATGTCCTATTATAATATTTTTATTGAATCATACATTATGGTAAATGAAACAAAATATATATATATACTAACCTTAATATTCTATTTTACATATTTTTTTAGAGATTGGATTCTTTCCTGTTGAAAATCCAATTGGATAGTCCAATCTGGTCTAAGCCTATTTCGAATCCATCTCCATAATTCAAATTGTACATTTTGTAAGGCTCTTTGAAGTGATCGTGTATTAAAAATCAAGTCGATCGAACATCGGAAACCAGTCCACCAGATTACATTTGTCTTCCAATCAAAGAAAATAGATTACATTTGTCTGAAAAATAATTAACGGACAATATAATTTTGAAAGTAAACCATTAAATTATTTTTTAAACAAATTGTGATCCAATGAAATGGTTTGATACATGATCAGAATCGTTTAATATTTGCATTACAATATTCAAGTCATATTTATGTTCGTGTAAAAAAATATTCAACTCTAACCCAGTAGTTACATATATAGTTCTTGTACCTACAATGATATTAACCTGAAAATCACACATGTCGCATCATATGCGAAAGTTATGTTCTTTGGATGACAAGCATCAATCGAATGGAAAACTGGGAGGCATCATGAATTGCTTCCAATTGCTTGGTGATTTTGAAATTTGAATCCATCAAAATTAATTTTAATATAGCATGTTTTCTTTTTCTAACAATAAAAACAAGATGGCGAATATCAATAATGTTAGCTAAAAAATGAGAACAAACTAGATATTCTTGTATTGTACATACCCAGCAATCAAAAACTTGCAAAGCAATTCAACTACTACGAAACCCTATAGTGTGCACCCTTAGAGATGCATATTATATGCATGTTAACATAAATTGGCGTAAAATTTTATAATATCAACAACAAAATATATAATCTCACCACAAATTATCATAGTAAAATATTCATAATTTTGTAGTTAATATTATAAAAGTTTGTGATTTGATTACGATATTTTTTATTATTCTAATTTATAATGAGATTATACATTTTATTATTAATGTTACGAAAGTTTATAAATTACACTATGACATTTTATTATTGGTATGCATCCTTGAAAGGTGCACACTTTTACTAACACCAACTACAAATCAGAAAGTACCAAACCCAAATACAGAAACAAAAATAACTCTTTCACAATAGTCCTCTCAAAGCAAAAACAATATTTACATAAAATTAACAAAGTCTAAACTCTCAGGAATTTCGAACTTCAACATGCTGCTGCAGTAGCTTTCTCTCTCACCTTCAGTATTAGTGTTGCTGTTGATGAATGTGGATGATGAATTCAAGGGCGTTGGGCTCGACATAGATGTAGACATAACTGAATCAAATGTGAAATTCTGGTTGTTCTTCATTGGTTGGAATCTTGAGTTACCCGATAGATCATTTAAACTTGAAGTTAAGTTTTCTTGCGAATTTTGGCAAGAAAATTGTCCCATGCTCATTCCTTGCATGAATTGCATTTGATTTTGAATCGGAGTTTGGAATAGATTGGGTTCGAGCACATGAGTTTGATTTTGATCCAGAGTTTGGAACAGATTATTGGGTTCGGGCAAATGAGTTTGATTTTGCAATTGGGTATTAAAATTTTGGTTCTCTTGAAGTTCTTGCAAAAGCAGTTCTGGGTTTTCAGGATTTAATGCCAAGAGAGTGGTGACAAGCCTTAAGAGTTCAGGATTTACTAGTGTTTGAAGCGGCAGAAAGTTTGAAAGATTGAGCTGAGCCGAGCTAAGGATTGATGACATGTCCAAAAGATCGAGGCAGGGACTATGAGTCACTGGATCAATACCCATTCTAAGGAGTCTTTTTCTGATATGAGTATTCCAGTAATTCTTGATTTCATTGTCAGTCCTTCCGGGCAATTGAGCAGCAATGGCTGACCACCTGAAATCGACCAAACAAATTATGTGCAGTTTTAGAAATCATGAAGATTAAAAATAAAAAAATTAAAAAAAAACACACACACACACACACACAAAAAAAAACAAAACAAAACAAAATGATATAATATGGTAAAACATCTATGTCAACATACGGTACATTTTCCAAATTGGGTAACCTATCGTAATTCTTTTAAAATCATTAATGGAGGGGGAAAAAAAATTTAAAAAAAAAAAAAAAAAAAGCTTTGTAATTGTCAAATAAGTGACATAAGTTGTGAATCTGGCAATGAATTAACTATGGACTGTATGATACAAATGTGATTTTTCATTTCAACTGGTCTATTGGATGCGCAAGGCCAAAAATCATGCATTAGATTGGGTTTGATTGTCAAATATAAAGAATTTTTTAGCAGTTTTTTTGTTTAATTATTACTTCTTTTTTTATATTTAGTGATTTTTAAAAAATATTTTCAAATGGTTTTATTTATTTATCTACCGGACTGGCTGAAACTAAAAAGTACAAAAACTATCAAAAGTTTTGAAAAAAAAGAGGTCCCATTTTTTTGCTTTTAGTGAATTTTTTTTTTTTAATTTTTGAATTTTTAGGTTATGTTAAACTAGACAAAGTAAATTTTTTAACATAAAATTTTAAAAAATATGAGCTTTTAATAGATGCTTGACCGAACCTCAGTCTAAGAAAATTAAAAATGCAAAGGGAAAAAGTATTATAATGGTCATACTTGTTGCCGAGAACACTGTGTAATTGGATAATAGTCTCTTCTTCTTCAAACGAAAACCTTCCTCTCCTTATATCAGGTCTCAAGTAGTTTGTCCATCGAAGCCGACAACTCTTGCCACATCTTTGCAGCCCTGTTCAATTCAACCATGCATTCTATTAGATCAAAAATACGTACTGTGATAATTCAACAAAAAAATATAAATCAATCTAAAATATATATATATATATATATAAATAATTATAAAAAGATTTTATATCACGATTATTGATATCTACGATACAACCTTCGTTTGGCATAAATTAAAATGGGATTTTTTAGACTAAAATAGCCCCAAAAAGACAAAATAGGTTTTTTAATTCAAGAAGATAAAATATCATATCCAAATTATAATCATTTTATTTTTTCTTTCACACAAATCAGAAAAATTAAAAAACATATCTCAAATGAAGCTTTTTATTCCTAGGCTAAAATAATTAAAAAATTAAAAAATCAAAAGTCAACCCACATTTCAAACGAACCCTCCTATATCAACCTACATGATATAGTACTGATTCATACATTGCTGAATATCAAAAACTAAAAATCCCAATATCGGCCTATGAGTATTGACAGGACATCAAATTTAGAATATGGAAACATCATTTACCATACCAGCATACTTTGGGAGGGTTCGCCAGTTGCCAGGTCCATGTATCTGAATGTATTGAATGAGTTTGTGATCTTCCTCTGGTGTCCAAGGACCTTTCTTTGTACCATTTTTATCACAACAAGGTGATCTTCCCATTGGTTTGGTGGTCTCTGTTATCAATGATAGATAGATATTTTCTAGAACAAAAGTGAACTTTATGGTTCAAAAGCGAAGATGACTACTAAATATATATAGAAGAGAAAGGCGTGTTAGAAATAGATTGAAGTCAATAGGATTGGTGCCGGCCTCATGCTCTCTCTCTCTCTCTCTCCCTCGTGATGTGTCTTCAGAGGGTGAAAGTGGAAACAAACATTTTGGATGTCACCCTTTTTGTTATGTTCCGTTTTTTTAAATAAAGTTAATAAAAAGTTTTTAAAATATAAGACGATAATTGTTTGGATGGACGGGATAAAAGGTAATTAATATTGCAATCCAACTGTTAGTCCTAAAACTATTTATTCATTGACTATTTAACTGAATATGATCTTTGTTCATGTTTTTTTGTTATGGGAATAGATGTTCGAAATTGATCATTTAAAAATTCAAACTTTTGTGATTGTTTTAAACGTCGCAAAAGGTTCGCATGTCATCGCAAAAGACTTTTTTGCAACGGAATAACGATAGGAAATGGGGGTGGCGGAAGGGAGTGTGACAAAAAGTATTTGCAACGGTTAAAAATCGTCACTTTCTTGTAGTGACGGTTAATCAATAGCTTTTGCGACGGTTTAACTTGATATAGGGAAAAAAAAAAACTTACTTTTAATGACGATATTGGTTGCCATCGCCAAAAACTTTTTTAGCGATAGTATTTGACATTGCAAAATATATTATTAGTGACGGTCTAAAATGTCGCCAAAAAAGTAGAATTTAATTAATACCTTATTTGTGACAATTTAAACCGTCGAGAAAGATTTGAACTAATATGTATATAAGACAAGTTAACTCATTGCTAATAAAATGTAAGAAAATGATGATTACATTAGCGACGCTTTATTAAATTATGTGTCTAAAGCTCCCTTATCTAGTAGTCATGACTACTCAAATGAATCACATATTTATTTGAAAAATTACGAAAAAATAACTGCTCAAAATGTTATTTTGTCTTTTTGAATTGCTTACTAAGTAATAAAAATGCCAAATCTCAATTTTAAAATATTATTTTATTTTTTGAGTAAGACTTGTAGCATGTTTAAAAGTCTACTAAATATTTTTGTTAATTTGCAAAAAAATAAAATTTATTGATGAACCCAAGTACAATATATAATGCTAAGACAAACATATTAATAAAAATTGCAAGGGTTGAAATCAAAATGTTTTGTAAATGGGAAAGACTATGGTGCACATCTCTTAAAGGGTGTGTACCTAGGTACTTTATATCTAAAGAAATAAATGTCATGATTTCATATTTTTAGATTCATAACTAATATATACATATATAAAGAAGTCATAACCAAATAATACATGAGGCATAACTAAAGATCTCATGATTCATAACTAAAATAAAGTCATAACTAAAGAAAAAAAAATTGATTATAATTAAGGGAAAAATGGCATAATTTAAGGTTACACATGTAGGGAGTGTGTATAGTAGAATTTTCTTAATAATAACAAAAAAAAAAAGTTAGTGACAAATTCCTTCTGTGAATAAAAAAAGAACATCAATAAAAAAAATGTTGTGTGAAAAGCTTAGGGAGATAGATATTAAATAATTATGGCCAAATTCATCTTTTTATCAATTGATATGAAGGAGAAATTGACTAGCGTTTTGTATCCCACCAACCCCATAGGATAGGATAATCTCACGTATGAGAGACTAATGATCGAACTATTAGTACAAATGTAAAAAAAATAAAAATATGAACTATTATTCCATTCACTTTCCAAACCAAGCAATGGACGAGTTGAGGTGGTGGACATAAAATCCAATCCGATGCATCAATCCTAACCTAAGTGCATTGGCATTAGTTTCATTACATGAGATCTCAAAATGATAGATTAAGGCATCGTTTGGCAAGTGACTGTTTTAACCTAAAAGTTATACAGTTACTAAAAAAATCAAAAAGTCAACAACTTATACCAAAAAATTAAAGATTCTCTTTTTCTCTTTACTTTTTGCACATCTTTTCGTAAAAAATCAAAAAGTCATCCCAAACACACTGAGTCAGTGTGTTTGGTTTGAGTTTTTTGAATTAAGTTTTTTGAAAATTAAGTTTTTTGGTTTTCGTGTTTTTTTGTTTTTAGTGAATATTTTTTAAATTTTAAACATTTTTTTTTACTTTTTAGATGCACCTTACTTAGATGTATCTAAAAAAGTAAAAAATTTGTGAAAAAATATTTTAAAAAATTAATAAATACATAAAAATACAAAAAATGTACTGAATTCTCTTTTTTTTTTTTGTATTTTGGCTATTTAGTGAATTTTTAAAAGGTTTTCTTCACAAATTTTTTACTTTTTAGATACATCTAAGTTAGGTATGTCTAAAAATTTTAAAAATTGCTTAGAATATTAAAAAAAATCAGTAAAAACAAAAAAATATAGAAAATAAGGAAGTAGAATTTTCTAAAAAGTATTTTTTGAAAAGTGAAAAAATGCATAAAAATTACTTCATATTTTAGTCAAAAAAATAAAAAGTTACTAAAATAGCCTGTTTCCAAACGAGGCCTGAGTACAAACTTAATTTTTGTCATAATTTACACAATATTCGAACTCTCTACTTCAAAATTAATAGGGAGTTTTAATTGCTACATCAATAGTCCCCTAATGAAAAGTTTAAAAATATATAGTTTTGATATCATTTTAATTTGGGTAAATTGCACTAAACTCCTTTGAAATTTCTAAACAATATAATAAACTTCATGACTTTGACACAATTATATTGGATTCCCTTAAGATCTCAATTTATAACGGTTAATTCATTTTTTATCAATAATTCATTAGTCATATGATTGGAGAAAAGAAAAAAGATGATGGTATCACTTTTACACTAAAATTTATATTTTTTCTTATAAATTCTTGTGTTTCTAGATCATTTTACATTAGTTTCGATTCTATTAGCCATACTAAAAGGAAAGTTAGTATAATTATATCAAAACTATATGACTTATTATATTTTCTCTAAAACTTAAGAGAGGTCAATATAATTTTTCTTTTTAAAAATAAAGAAGGTAAATTACACTGACCTCCCTTGAGATTTGGAGAAAATAAAGTAAGTCTTACAATTTTGACATAATTACATTAAGCTTCCTTGTCATTTTAATTTATATAATACTTAACACCATTTTCATCAATAATATATTAGTTATATGAATGAAAAAAATGATGTTATCATCTCTTTTATACGAAAATGTATACTTTATCTTATTTATTTTTGTATCTTTGCAACATCTGCATTAGTTTTGGTTCATTTAACCTTACTAAAACGGATATCAATGTAATTATGTCAAAATTGTAAGATTTATTGTATTTTTCCAAACCTCATGGAAGGTCAGTGTAATTTACCATCTCAATAATATATTAGTTATATGAATGAAAAAAATGATGTTATCATCTCTTTTATACAAAAATGTATACTTTATCTTATTTATTTTTGTACCTTTGCAACATCTATATTAGTTTTGGTTCATTTAACTTTACTAAAACGGATATCAATGTAATTATGTCAAAATTGTAAGATTTATTGTATTTTTCCAAACCTCATGGACGATTAGTGTAATTTACCCAATAAAAAAAGTTGTATTTTAAAAATTCATAAAAAAATTATATAAGTATTTTCGAAAAGAAATGTGTTATTTTTATAAAATTACTCAAAATGGATTTTAAAAATAATTTATAAAACAAGTATTTAGTATCACTTTTAATTTTCTATTTTGCAAGAACAAGCAAATAAAATTAATACCAAACTCATCATTATAAATATTAAAAATGTTTGAGACTTACAAAAAGTTTTTATAATTTGACCCATAATGAAATGGTATAATAAATGTCATTTTTTAATTTGTTACACATTCAATGATATAGGGTTAACTCCTTTACTACATTAGCAGTTCCGTGATCTGAGGTCTTGGATTTCGGCTGAGTTCGTGATTCTCCGGCGAGGAAGCGGTTTTCCGGCAAGTGCATCTGCTTTTCCTAGCGCAGTTCAATATCCCCCTTTGATTGGGCGATCCGCAGTTCCGTGTTCTGAGGTCTTGGATTTCGGCTGAGTTTCGTGATTCTCCGGCGAGGAATCGGTTTTCCGGCTAGTTCATCTGCTTTTCCTAGCGCGGGAGGAACAAGAGGAGCGATCCTAGTTCTGGAGGAACAAGAGGAGTGCTAATGAATCGGGCTCGCACTCAATATTGATTTGTTCCTTTTCTCAGGTCAGAGCATTATCATTCTTTGATTCTATTCTTCTATCTTCGATCTCTCTGCAAATCTCTCTCTCTCTCTCTCTCTCTCTCTCTCTAAAAACTCTGTTCGGATTTATCTGTGTTCGATCATGGAGATAGGATGTATTTGAGTCCAAAAATTGAGCTTGAATAGAGTTGTGTGAGGAATGGAGAAAGGAGGGTGGATTCCGGTTTTGAATCAGAGAGGAAGTAAAGGAGGATGGAGAAAGGAAGCTACTGCAAAATTATTCACGATCTTTGTTGATGATCTACCCAGATCGATGAACTTGAAGATGCTGGGGGAAATATTCAGGAAGTTTGGAGTGGTGAAGGATGTCTACATTCCTCTGAAGAGAAGGAGAGTGAGGAACACTAGGTTTGCTTTTGTCAGGTATGACTGTGAAGTGGCAGCAGAAGTAGCAGTACAGAAGGCTAATGGGATATGGGTGGATGATAAACAACTGGTAGTGAAGCATGCGGATTATGGTAAGAATGATATGGAAGTCAAAATCCGATATCCTCCTCAAACAAAAGGGTTCCCACATGGTGGAAGGGGTGAGGGCAGTGTATGGAAGCCAGCAGCAGGTGTTCGGACATATGCAGAGGTCATTAAGAATAGTCATGGTATGGGAAGTGGAATTGTGTCTGTCCAGGCAGAGGAAGTCGGAAACGGGTGGCTATATGAAACTGTAGTGGTTCGTCTTAAAGTTGAATACGCCAATGTTAAGATTAAATATGAATTACAGCAAAGGGGCATGGAGAATGTGGTAGTGAGGGATGGAGGAGGTAGAGATGTGTTGTTAACATTCAACTCTAAGGAGTGTATGAAGGATAGTTTGGGGACTGTGAAGGAATGGATAGGGGATTGGTGCGATGAAATTGTGAGGTGGAATCCTGATGTTCATAGTGGAGGTGAACGTAAGGTGTGGGTCTGCTGTTTTGGGATCCCATGGAGTTTATGGAATAGAACAACTTTAAATAGAATTGGGAAGGTATGGGGGGAGGTTATTTGTATTGAAGGAGATATATGCAATCCAGAATCGTTTGAATATGCAAGGATTCAAATTTTAACAAAGTGTATGGAGCCTATTAATACCATAATTAATCTGGAGTGCAAAGGGTATTCCCAAACTGTGAGAGTGTGGGAACATTTATCTGGGGCACCACAGATATTGGCTGGGAGGAGTGAGAGCTCTATGGTACAGGGAGGGGTAGGAGCCTGCAGTTCAAATAAGGGGGTGAAGGTGGGTGTAGCAGTTATGGCGACTGATGTAGCTGTAGAAGATGACGATTGGGTTGGTGAGTCAGCTAGGGAGCTGGACCAATTGAAGGAGGTGTGTATTGGGGTTGGGCCCGGAAGAGTGAGGTGTAGCGATGAGGTGCAGATGGGATCACCAAGGCAGTCTGAAACTGTGGTTCCAGAGTCTACTGGCAGTGAGCTCGAGGGTATAGCAGATAGCATTATGGAAGTAGCTGGGAGCATAGGCAATGGCTGTGAGTTGGAAGGTCAGAAAAGTAAGGAGCAGGTTGGCATGAAAGGGGCTGTTAAAAGCTTGAGTGGATCTAGTTTGCTCAAACCGGGGGTCCATTTAGAGGTGGTGCTGGGTCGGAATAATGGAATGGGCCTATGTAATGGGCCTGTGGTTATGAGGGCAGGAGGGGAGACGCAAACCCAAGGCTCCAAGGCTGGTCTTCAAAGTGGGCTACAGGTTGAAAAGAGCCCTTTAATAATATGTTCTGACATACCTGAATCACAGTGCAACGAATTGAGCTCAAGGAAAAAACTACAGAAGAATAGAGGGATGAAGAGAGTAGTTACGAAATCTAGTGGGAAGAAAATTAGAGAGATGAAGCAGGGATATCTTAAGCGTCCAAAAAGCCATAATCATAGAGGAGCCTCTTCTAGTAAATTGGGACCGAGAGGTGCTATATGGAGAGCAGCAGCTGCGGTAGCATCAGGTGTAGATTCAACAGCTAGTGGAGTAGCTAGAAGCAGATCGTTGCTTAAAGAGGCTCAGGGAACTATTCAGATGGGAAAGTTGTTGGGTATAAACTATAAAGGTAAAGAAGAGGAAGTGCTAACCAAAATCTTGGACCTTGAAGCTAATGATAGAGCAAGGAGGGGAGGGAATGTAGTTCTTGTGGATTGATAAGATCTTGAGGGGTCAGAGTTCAGTGTAAATGGTTATGATGAAGCTACTAACATGGAATGTCAGGGGTTTGGGGAGAAAGGAAAAAAGAAGTAAAATTAAGAGGTTGTTGAAGGATAGAGGTATTGATATAGCTCTTTTTCAAGAGACAAAGAAAGCCTCCATGTCTGAAAAGGAGATCAAAGAGATTTGGGCTAGGGATAGTATGGAATATATGACTGTGGATGCTGAGGGCTCTGCTGGTGGCCTATTATGTATTTGGGATCCAGCTGTTTTTCAGATGTCAAGTTGCTGCTGTAATAGAAGGTTTGTTCTTCTATCTGGGTCTCTATTCTTTTCTTTTGATTGTGTTTTGATCAATGTGTATGCACCAAATGAAGTGGGCCAAAGAGGTAAATTGTGGGAGTGTCTTCTAAAGTTAAAGGAGGAGTACTCTAAGCCCTGGTATATAGGGGGGGACTTTAACGAAATTAGAAAGATTGGTGAGAGGAAAGGCTGCTCTACGAGGGACAAGGGGATGAAGGAGTTGAATGATTTTGTTGATAGTAGTGAGTTGAATGATTTGCCTTTATTAGGCCGAAGATTCACATGGTGTAATGCTAGGGAAGGGGAAAAATGGAGCAGAATTGATAGGGTTTTGGTGGACCCAAAATGGGTGGAATCATTTAATTTGAAGTTGTGGGGACTTCCTAGAGTCATGTCTGATCATAGTCCCTTACTGCTAATGGAGGATGAGAGAGATTGGGGCCCTAGGCCCTTTAGGTTTGTTAATGCTTGGTTGTTACACCCAAACTTCTTACCTTTTGTGGAAAAGTGGTGGAGGGAGCATCAGGTGGAGGGGTGGGCTGGGTTTAGGTTATTCCAGAAACTGAAAGAGTTGAAAGTAGCACTCAAAAAGTGGAATAGTGAAGTGTTCGGTAATGTTATTACAAAGTTGAAGAAGGTAGAGGATGAGCTTCATATGCTTGATTTGTTAGCAGAGGAAAGAGAGCTTAAAGAGGCAGAAAAATGTAGAAGAAGAGAGGCTAGAGTTGAGGCTGGTTATTTAACAAGAATGGTGGAAAGGTTGTGGTTCCAAAAATCGAGGCTCAAGTGGAATTTTTATGGTGATAAAAACACAAGATATTTTCATGTGTTAGTGAAATATAGGCAGGGGAGAAATGAAATAAATACTTTAACTGTTGGTGATGTGGTGGTTGATGATCCATGTAGAGTTAAGCTTGAGGCCCTAGCTTATTTTCGGAAGCAGTACTCTGAGGATTGGCAGCATAGGCCTGTATTGGAAGGTCCATTTAAGTCAGTAAGGGATAGCCCTTGTTTTGATATGTTGGAGGCTGAGTTTACTGAGGCAGAGGTATGGGCTGCTGTCAGGGGTTGTGATGGGAATAGGGCTCCTGGTCCAGATGGGTTTAACTTGGCTTGTATCCAGAAACTGTGGAAGGTATTGAAGGCTGATGTGCTGAATTTTGTGTTCGATTTCCATAAGAATTGTAAGTTGGTCAAAGGAATCAATAGCTCTTTCATCACTTTGGTACCTAAAAAGGAGAATCCAGTGGGGTTGGCGGACTATAGACCTATCAGTTTGGTTGGGTCGATGTATAAAATTCTGTCCAAGGTTCTTTCCTCAAGGCTGAAGGCAGTGATTCCTCAGATCGTAAGTGAAAACCAATCGGCTTTTATTGGAGGGAGGAATATTCTGGATGGTGTTTTGGTGGCCAATGAGGTTGTCGATAGTTGGAAGAAATCTAGAAAGAAAGGAGTGATTATTAAGTTAGATTTTCAGAAAGCTTACGACTCATTGAATTGGGATTTCTTACTCTCTATGTTGGCTAATTTTGGGTTTGGGGGAAAATGGGTGGAGTGGATTAGGGTATGTATTACCTCAGCTAGGCTATCGGTGCTTGTTAATGGATCCCCTACTGAGGAGTTCAGTCCACAGAGAGGACTGAGGCAAGGGGACTCCTTGTCCCCATTTTTGTTTATCATAGCTGCAGAGTGCTTAAGCCCTCATGGAAGGTCAGTGTAATTTACCATCTCAATAATATATTAGTTATATGAATGAAAAAAATGATGTTATCATCTCTTTTATACAAAAATGTATACTTTATCTTATTTATTTTTGTACCTTTGCAACATCTATATTAGTTTTGGTTCATTTAACTTTACTAAAACGGATATCAATGTAATTATGTCAAAATTGTAAGATTTATTGTATTTTTCCAAACCTCATGGAAGGTCAGTGTAATTTACCATCTCAATAATATATTAGTTATATGAATGAAAAAAATGATGTTATCATCTCTTTTATACAAAAATGTATACTTTATCTTATTTATTTTTGTACCTTTGCAACATCTATATTAGTTTTGGTTCATTTAACTTTACTAAAACGGATATCAATGTAATTATGTCAAAATTGTAAGATTTATTGTATTTTTCCAAACCTCATGGAAGGTCAGTGTAATTTACCATCTCAATAATATATTAGTTATATGAATGAAAAAAATGATGTTATCATCTCTTTTATACAAAAATGTATACTTTATCTTATTTATTTTTGTACCTTTGCAACATCTATATTAGTTTTGGTTCATTTAACTTTACTAAAACGGATATCAATGTAATTATGTCAAAATTGTAAGATTTATTGTATTTTTCCAAACCTCATGGAAGGTCAGTGTAATTTACCATCTCAATAATATATTAGTTATATGAATGAAAAAAATGATGTTATCATCTCTTTTATACAAAAATGTATACTTTATCTTATTTATTTTTGTACCTTTGCAACATCTATATTAGTTTTGGTTCATTTAACTTTACTAAAACGGATATCAATGTAATTATGTCAAAATTGTAAGATTTATTGTATTTTTCCAAACCTCATGGAAGGTCAGTGTAATTTACCATCTCAATAATATATTAGTTATATGAATGAAAAAAATGATGTTATCATCTCTTTTATACAAAAATGTATACTTTATCTTATTTATTTTTGTACCTTTGCAACATCTATATTAGTTTTGGTTCATTTAACTTTACTAAAACGGATATCAATGTAATTATGTCAAAATTGTAAGATTTATTGTATTTTTCCAAACCTCATGGAAGGTCAGTGTAATTTACCATCTCAATAATATATTAGTTATATGAATGAAAAAAATGATGTTATCATCTCTTTTATACAAAAATGTATACTTTATCTTATTTATTTTTGTACCTTTGCAACATCTATATTAGTTTTGGTTCATTTAACTTTACTAAAACGGATATCAATGTAATTATGTCAAAATTGTAAGATTTATTGTATTTTTCCAAACCTCATGGAAGGTCAGTGTAATTTACCATCTCAATAATATATTAGTTATATGAATGAAAAAAATGATGTTATCATCTCTTTTATACAAAAATGTATACTTTATCTTATTTATTTTTGTACCTTTGCAACATCTATATTAGTTTTGGTTCATTTAACTTTACTAAAACGGATATCAATGTAATTATGTCAAAATTGTAAGATTTATTGTATTTTTCCAAACCTCATGGACGATTATTGTAATTTACCCAATAAAAAAAGTTGTATTTTAAAAATTCATAAAAAAATTATATAAGTATTTTCGAAAAGAAATGTGTTATTTTTATAAAATTACTCAAAATGGATTTTAAAAATAATTTATAAAACAAGTATTTAGTATCACTTTTAATTTTCTATTTTGCAAGAACAAGCAAATAAAATTAATACCAAACTCATCATTATAAATATTAAAAATGTTTGAGACTTACAAAAAGTTTTTATAATTTGACCCATAATGAAATGGTATAATAAATGTCATTTTTTAATTTGTTACACATTCAATGATATAGGGCTTAACTCCTTTACTACATTATTATAGATGAATTTATAAATTTAAGTGTGATTCTCTAATATTTCTTAATAAACATTAATCATTTTCTATACAATGATGCAATATAATATGATATACCAATGCCTTTTTTACAATTATAAATCTATACCATGTATACTATATATTATTTAATATCAGCATCTTATTTGCAATGGACATTTTTGAACCTATTTTATATATGGCTAGTGAGAGAAGAAATAGGGGCATTAGTAGTTATTCATGTTCTTTTGTTGCTAGGAATACAAAATATTTTATCAAAGATTCTACTAGACACTCACATAGGTGTAAAACCGACTCTTATATGAGTATTTAGTAAAAAATTTAATAAAATATTTAAAACTCCCAACAATTTTTAAATAAAAAATATTATATTGAGTCTATTGACATATGCATCATGTGTGTCTACGGGTAGACAAATCTCACGATAAGCAGACGATATGTGTTATCTTAAGCTTGACCCAACCCGACATTGGGTCTAATATAAACATTCCACGTCCAGTCTTAAGAAATATTTCAAATCTCAAACCCGTCAACTTAGCCCAATAAATATGATTTATTAATTTTTTATTTTTTATTTTTGTCTTGAGTGGATGTTAAATTATTTCAATACTTTTATTTATTATTTAAATTTTGGAAGGTAAACAAAATTCAATAATAAAATAAATACTATTTTTAACAAATGTTTAAATTTAAGCCAAAAAAAAAAAAAGAAGTATATGTATACCTTTTTTTACTTTTATATTTTTTTGATTTTATTTTATAACTAAAATAATATAAAATTACAATTAATATTTTATAAATGAGTAGGTTGGTTTAGACTAGAACCTTTATCCTAAATCCATCTAAATATTAAATGAGCAAAAAATCTCAATTCTGCTCGACTTTATGAGCAAAATAATTTTTTGAACCCTAAAAATACTGAACTAAGCTGGGCTAAGCGAGCTGGGCAAACCATCGAGCTAACAGTTTATAATTATTATAACACTTTTTAATAAATGAATATAAATAGGTGACGTTATCATTACATGTGTATGGAATTTTCATACTATCTTTGTATGATATTATCTAAGGGGCTATTTGGGATAATTTAATAAAGATAAAAAATCAAAAAATTATTAAAAAAATTAAAAATCCCGTACTATTTATAGGTAGTTTGTGAGGGAAGTCATCCTTTGAATTTAACTATCCAAAAAGTCAAAAAATTAAAAGTCAAAAGAATAAAATGGTCATTTTGATTTTACTACAATATTTTATTATACATATTTTTGTGAAAAATCAAAAAGTTATCCTAAATATACATCTTTTTTTCTTTACTTTTTTAGCTAAAAAGTCAAAAAGTGCACTTATATAGCACATCCCAAACAATAACTAAGGGATTATTTGGGATGATCTAAATAAGTGTATTTTTTTACTTTTAATGAAATATGGATTGGATTTGAAGTGATATGATAGAAAGATGATGTGACTTAAATAAAATGATATAATTTAAATAGGATAGTGACTTTTTGACTTTTT